ATGACCATCTTAATATCCAGCCACGCCTGAGTTTTAGGTTGTACTCTCAAATCATAGAAAAACTTGGTATTTCTTCTCTGCTTTTCTAACCAAAGCCCACTGTCTCATAAAGTCCTTGTTCCTCAAGGCCAACTTTCTCCTTGTGGGGAGCAGGGAGATCAGAGATTGAAGCCAGGACCTTGTACTTGCTAGGCAAGGGCTCCACCACTGAGCTACACCATCTACTCCCTGGTTTCTCTTATAAAAAATGCCTCCCAGAACTAAATGGTCAGTACTCAATGAAATCACGAGATGATATCACGAGTTTTTAGTTCCCTTTGTGCTACAAACTGTTGGAAATGTCATGGAAGTTGGAGCATGCAGTAACTGAGGTTTAATCTCTGTGACACTGGCAACTAGCTGCTCTTTACACGGGCAAAAACGTCAGGCAACGATCACAGGCTACTGTTAGGACTCTGCCGCCACTCCAGCTGCATGACCACACATGCGCAGTTCAGCAGCTAAGTAAGGGATCTTACATCTTATGTCATCAGTGGTCACGCAATCTGCGCATGCTTGGCGTAGCTCCATAAGCCCACCTATGCTTTAAAAAGCTGGACACACACACCCCCCTTTCTGTCCTCTCTTCCCCCCATTACCTCTGCCTCTCTCTCTCTCTCTCTCTCTCTCTCTCTCTCTCTCTCTCTCTCTCTCTCTCTCTCTCTCTCTCTTCTCTGCACGTGCTTCTTCCCCAGGCCTGGTTCTTTTGTCTCCCCCCTCCCCCTAATAAAGCTCTGATATTGGGTTTTGTTGTGGCTCTTGCCTCATGACCTTGGTAACCAGCACCGCTTATCATTTTCAAAACAACAGCTACAAGGACCTGAGACTTTCTTGGACACACAAACAAAACTCCTCTCCTTGCAAAACTCGGGTCTGCTCCTCTGCCACTCTTCCCCAGACCCATGCCACAGAGGGCTGGCACAGGGGACTCAGTGCTGGAGTACTTGCCTACCATGCACAGGGCTCTGGACTCACTCAATCCCCATCACCACAACAGAACAACACAATAGCAAGAACAACAAAAGGGGCATGTGTGCTGTGCTAGCTCAGAGATTTAGGCTCAGATAAGGATCTTCCGGGGACCAAAGGGACATCTGCTTCGTGGCCACTTTGCACAGGGAACAATGAGTCACCAGGCCAGGCTGTAAGACCTGTGAACAAGGAAATGAGGGTGAAAGGCGGAGAAGGGCCCAGAATTACTCAGGGCTCCATACTTTCCCCTTAGAAAATTCTGGAGGGCAGCAGAATTCCCCTGTAGTCTGTGATTTCTGACACATACACATACTTAAACTGAAGTGGATCTCACAGCATAAAATTAGCCATATTAAGTCAAGCACTGCTGTGACATTTAGTACATTCATAATAATGTGCAACCACCACCTTTAGTTCTAAATCATTTTCATCACCCCCAGAGAGAGCCCATACCCATTCAACAGTGGCTCCCCCAACTCCAGCTCCACTCAGCTTCTTATGCCTTGTACTAACCAACATCCCATCTCTAGGATTTACCCATTGGCGATATTTCACAGAAATGGAATCACACAGCCTGTGGTATTCTGCGGATCTCTCCTCTCATCATGACTTTTTGGGCATTCATTCATACCACAATGTCTGTACCTCACTGCCTTCTGCTGATCAATATTGGGTTGTAGTGTGTACCCCAGTTGAAGTTCCCTTTGTTGGTGTACAGTTGTCTCAATCTTTCACTAAATGTGAAATGTGAATTGCTATGATTATTTCTGTGCAAATATTTGAGAACCCGCTTTCAATATTCTCTGTATGCAGCCAGGAGTGGATTTCATTGCTCATATTGTATTTCTATTTCTTTTTGTGGGGACGTCAAACTTTGTTTCACAGTGACTGCACCATTTTATATCCCCACCAGCAATCACTGTCCCTCCCTTGCGTATTCATGTGTTCACACATCTGTCCCTTTTCTCCTCCTTGCTTCCACAAAAGCCAATCCCACAGATCCTCCAACCTGCCTCTTGCTCCTGGGACATAAGGTGGAGGAAACTGCACCTAATAGCATCTGTCTTTTCCACAGTAGGGCAGGGAGGGCAGGCTGTCAATTCCCTGGATCATGAAGGTACACACTAAAGTCTTTTGTGTGACTCCTGCTATGCTCCAACACCTCTGTGGTCTCGCTAAACTTTCCATTAAACTCCCACGCAAGGAAGCTTGGGGCATAAGGAAGATCAGTGTGGAAGCCCAAGTTCCGAGGCGCTCACGTCCCAACCGTGCGCCTCCTCCCGCCCTGCCTCCCTGCAATGGGCGGGCCCCGGGCCCTAGACGCCTAGAGAGACCCTGGGAGAGGAGGCCCCTCCCGGGGTTACTCGCGGTCAGCGCCCGCCCCCAAGGTTACTCGCGTTCACTCGGCCCACAACGTCCGACGCCGAGCAGCCAATCAGCAGCCGCGCTGCGGCTCTGCCCGTGCCCGCTCCAATCAGGAGGCGCCGCCCCTGCAGATTGGCTGCGCGGGTCGCCGTTACTGCCTCTTCTGCGCCCCCCACCCCCACCCCCGTCTGGCTCCGGAGCGGGGGATGCGCGCGTACCTTGCAGTCCTCCTCCGGTGTAAGGCCGATAGATGACTTCCTGGGGATTCCTCCCCAACCCCCCACCTCGGTACAGCCCTCCCTCTCTGAGGAGGAGGGACGCAGAGCTGTGGGCTCCACATGGCCAGCCCTGCCCCATGGATGATGACCTTGGGTATGGGCTCCGGTCCCCAGCTCCCTCCTCCGCGGGGGGACTTGGCTAAGCAGGGCGCGATCTTACTGCTTCACGCAGACATCTATCATGTAGGAGGTAGGGCGCCAGATCAAAGAAAAACCCAATAATATGTCGTGGCAAGGGTTAAGATGTTACAGAAAACACAGAGACCAAAGTGTTTAGTCACGATTCAGGCTGATGTTCCCGGGCCTGAAGGGGTGTGAGAGGAGACTGCAGGGGAGGCTGAGAAAGGCAGCCAGGCACAGAGAGTCTAGATTGCTCGGTGATAAGGAGTCATGAGATGCACTCACTCAAGCAGGACAGGAAAATCTCTGTTTCAGAAAGTTACTGTGGTGGCCAGAGCAGAGGGGACCAGATTAGGGCTGGAAGGCCAGATCCAGGCTTCCTCAGGACGCCTGTTAGGGGGTGAGACCTTCAAATCTTAAAGGTGCTAGTGGAAAGGGCAAAGGACATCTGAGTTTAGGAGCAGAATTAATGGCACTCTATTGATGGGATCTGCACAAGGTGGAGTGTTCAGCCTGAGTGTCTCCAAGGGCAGCACTCTTGTTACTTTATCTGAAAGGGATGAATTAACTGGTTTTTGTGTGTATGGTTTCTGATTTATTTTGTTGAGACCGGGCTGGCCTCGAACTCAGAGATTCACTAGCCTCCCCTTCCCAAGTGCTGAGATTAAAGGTGTGTGCCACCACACTTGGCTCTTTTTTTTTCTTTAATATAACATTTTTATTTCAAAGTGATGGCCAATCAATTGTTAATCACTTCAGTAATGGGCAGACTTTCTCGGATATTGGTAAGGTAAAGCTTTTACTTCAAGGAAACAATTTATGATAATTGCCCTAATAATTCTTAAGGTAAACATTAGACATTTGGAAGCCTTGCATATGGCATGGAGTTTGAGAGCTTCCTAACAATTTAAGACTTGTCTGGTAAAATCAGTGGTGATATTAATGAACACCTTTTTATTCTGTAAAATGAAATAAGCTAATATTTTGGAGCATTCTTCTAACTGAGGGAATCAAAAGCAGCACATTACAAAATCATGCATGAATAAAGGCTGCTTGAAAATGCAGGCAAGAGCCAGCTATGGTGGCACATGCCTATGATCCCAGCTCTTGGGGGGCAGAGGCAGGAGGATCTCTGTGAATCCCGGGTCATCCTGGTCTTCATAGTGAGTTCCAGGACAGCCAGGGCTATGTAGAGAGACTTGAAAAGAGAGAAAAAGGCGGGGGGGGGGGGGGGGGGGGGGGGGGAGCAGGCAAGACCATGTTAAAGAACATAAGAATCCAGGGTCTGGTGGCACATGCCAATTGACAGAAAAACTGTAAGAAGCCATTCCTCACCTGGACTTCATACCACAGAGCATGCTCAAAGTGGGGTGCTGTGTAAATGTTCTGTAAGGCTCATGAGTACCATGGCCTGAAGCTCTTTGAGGGCATGCTCTTCCCTCGGCTCACTTGCCAGCTCCCACACTCAGGAGTGCCACCCCCCACCCTTTATATTTGTTTTTGAGACAAAAACTGTGCCGCCCTGGCAAGCCTGCGACTCACTATGTAGATCAGAGTTGGCCTGGAACTCACAGCTAAGAAAAAAGAAAACTGCTCAAAAATCTGTTAGATAGTGATAGTTCCGGATGCAAATATCAACAGGTGTTATCCAGCTGGGCGGTGGTGGCGCACGCCTTTAATCCCAGCACTGTGGGGGCAGAGGCAGGCAGATCTCTGTGAGGTCGAGGCCAGCCTGGGCTACAGAGAGAATTCCAGGACAGCCAGGACCGTTACACAGAGAAACCCTGTCTCAAAAAACAAACAAACAAACAAAAAACCCAAAAGAGCATGTTATTCAAGTGTTGGACTCAGCACCTCTGAGTCCCACCTAAAGCAGGCAGAAGGGCCCATGGTCTTCCTGACCTGTGAGATGCAGATCCTGAGAAAGGCTCCTACGAGAAAGTCAAGGATTTGGAAGTGAGAAAGCAGAAGAGAACGGAGTCAGCCTAGGTGGGCTTTTTTGTTATTGTTTTTCTCAACCTTTATACAGCCTCAGGGAGAAATCATCAAGGGACAATGTAATATAGCTGAAGGAGACTTAGAAGTTAATCCTCGAGACACAGATTCCAGAATCACGTGCCCCCCCCCCCCCCCCCCCCCGTGTCTTCTGGTCCTAAGATACCCTTATTTGGGTGCTGGGGTATAGGCCACTGGGGGTGGGGTGGTGTTAAGGAAATATGAAATAAAACAAGGTCTTAAGAGATTTGGGAGATGCTGGGCATAGTGTCACATAACTGTAAACTCGGGAAACTGAGGCAGAAGGATCAAGAGTTAAAGGCTACCTTTGATCAAAATGCTTTGTATGTGTGTATACAATTCTCAATATTTTAAAAAGCTCAAGGCTAGCTGGGCTACACTGGGAGACTTGAGAGAGAGAGAGAGAGACAGAGACAGAGAGACAGAGATTGAGATTGACTGGTTCAGGGAAGGACTTGGTTCATGTAAAAAGTCTCTTGTAGCCCAGTGTGGTGGGGCAGAGGCAGGGCAGAGAGGGAGAGACACAGAGAGGCAGAGGCAGAAACAGTAGCGCCCCACTTGCCTCTCCATTTCATCCCTCAGAAGAACATCTCTGAATTCTTTTTGGCTGGCTCCTGGCATTCCTTTCTGTGTTTCTAAAAAACATGCTTATATCACGATTAACTGACTTAAGAATTTCATTTACTGACCTCTCGCCTTGGAAGATGGAAATGTAATTTTTAAACACTCACCACTGTGGTGACCACCACACGTCCGATCACTCAGGTAGGAACCTGCACACTTCATTTTCTCCATCTTCTCGATACAGTTGTGCCATGGTTGTAGTTAAATCGTAACTAGTGTTTGAACTGCGGAGCCTGTAAATACTGTTCACACAGTGGCCTCACTAGTGCACACCTTTCTTTGTTCTGGACCTGGTCACTACTTTTCTTCTCCTGCTTTACACACTACTCATGAGTGCCACTTGACCCTTTTCTGCCTCCCCCACTTGTCTCTGTCTCCACATTTGGCAGCAACCAACACCCAGCTACTTCGTTGTTTCGGAGAAGCACATTCCCGATTAGTCACAGGAGAAACCGTTTTTTAAGATATGCTGCCTTCATGGTGGTGGTGGCGCATGCTTTTTAGTCCCAGCATTTGGGAGGCAGAGGCAGGCAGATCTCTGTGAGTTCGAGGCCAGCCTGGTCTACAGAGTGAGTTCCAGGGTAGCCAGACAAACCCTGTCTTGGAAAAAAAAAAAAATGCTGTCTTCACTTTTTCCAAGTTTCATATTGTATCGTCAATGACATTCATTGGCCTTTCCTACTCAAAAATGGTTCGTTCTTCTGAGCGTTTTAAAAAGTTAAATAATTATTGAGTTCCTCCCCGCCTGATTTTTGTGTTTATTTGCTTGTTTTCGCTTTGATTTTCGCACTAACTTACTTTGTGAGTGTATGGGTGCTCAAGAGAGCCATGCCATAGATTGAGTGGGGAAGTCAGAGGACCACTTCAGGGGTTCTCTCTCCCTCGTGTGGGCTCCAGGGGTCACACTCAGATCCTCAGGCATGGCGGCCAGCAGCCTCACCCGATGAGCCATCTCAGCAGCCCCACGTTACCTCTGAGGATCCTGGTGGCCTGCTCACCGCCTGCGTGTGTGCTGGTGTTCTGTGTGTTTTCTTGCCCTCTCTCTTCCCCTCTCACCTGCCCCTCTGCCCTCACCTACTTCCTCTCCCTGCCTCTGTCTCTCTTGCACTACTAGTGCCTGAATCTGTGGACACTCTCCCTCAATAAACTTGAACGTTGCTCGAAAATGTAAAAATTCCCTCCTCTCTTCATTCGAATTTGTTTTTATTTGACTTTTCAGAAGGACACATGGCAAAGCCTTCTTAGAGATGGATTTGACAAGCCAAAAGCTAAGCGCATAAACTGATCTACTTTCCCCCGTAACAAGCTTCTTACCAGAACCAAAAGAAATTCTCATTAACTTGATCTGAGAACGGTGCCCTAGGAAATGAAGAGAGAGGAAGAGAAGGAGACAAGGGTGGTTTTAAAATTCACTTTTCAGAAAAATACAGATTGTGGGCATTTTGAAAATATGAACTTTGAATAAGTTGACTGTGATACCCTGGCTTTTGTAGAGCAAAGTGACTCACACAGAAGATCCTATCCCACAAGTGCAGAGGGACAGTCTAGACAGGGCCGAGACAGGGGCATATCTGTCCCACCATGTGGAAGGGGCATCACTACCAGGCCTGCCTATTTCCACTTGTGACCTGTAGCTCTATAACAACTGCCTGGCACATGTTTTTCCTATACCTGAACTATCCCTGTGCCAACTGGTTTATTAAACGTGTAACAGCAATTTAGAGTGACGTGATAAATGGCCTGGGCTGTTCATTATTTTAGACATGGCTTCACAATGTAGTCTAGGCTTGTTCTGAACTCAAATTCCTCCTGTCTCAGCCTCCCAAGTAAGGAAATGAGACATGGGAACAGCAGCACTCAACTCTTTTCTTCTTTTTCTTGCAGCGCTGATAGAAAGGGGCCTTGCACATGCTGGGCAGGCACTCTAACACTGAGCTACACCCCTAGCCCACAGACAGCTTATTAAATCATACATTCTTAATTTATCTCCTAAGAATAATGAGTGGAAAACAAAAGATACCAAGGCCCTAGCAAGAGAAGAAACACCCACATGTGGGTTTATAAAGCAAGCTAACGAACATTTCAATAAAATGAGAATAGAATGTTCCTTTTACCTTGACACACTACCTTCCTAAACTTGAAAACTAAGTCTTGAGTAAGATTTCTCAGATGGTTCAGAGTTCTACAGCAGAACAGAATGACTGGGCAGAGCTGACCTTCAGCCTCTCTCAAAGAGCCCCTTCCAGAAGGAAGATTCCCAGAGACTGCGAAAGGGCCCCTTCCAGAAGGAAGATTCCCAGAGACTGCGAAAGGGCCCCTTCCTTCTTCACCAACCAGTCACCTTCCTCATTGTACTTGGGATCCAACACCCCGAATCAGGCTGCTCCTCCCGGAGTGGGGGTCAGGTGGAGTGAAGTGTCCTTGGCTTTCTGCACTCAGGCTCCAGCACCCAGTGCCAAACAGCATCTCGAACAAGGACTCTTCAGTGGCTCACACGGCAGCACCTAATTGTAGACACTTCTACACTCCGGAAGTCCAACCACTCGGAGGACAAATACTTTACTTATCCGATTGTCTTTGGATTGGAATTGTTCATGAAGGAAAGCAAGGGCAGGGGAAGGAAGGAAGAGGGAGAAAGAAAGAGAGGAAGAAGAGGGGAGTGAAAGAGAAGAGTGAATAAAAAGATGACTATTAATTTACATTCCTTATGGAGCTCATGGGAAGAGCCTGACCTAACTCCGCATTAGAAAATGCTTACTCTGTATCTGAACATGATGGGGAATAATAACTGCTTACAGTAATTTTTATTCTTCTCTCGCCCTGAGAATGATGAGTTCACACTGTGGCAGCCGTTTATCATGGAAAAACTGAAAGGTGTTCCTCTAGCAAGTGCTTTCCTGAACTAGAGTGAAGCCAGCTCAGAGTCCAGTATGTGGCCCCCTCCTCTTTATTCTCTTTGCCTGGCTAGTTCCTGCCTTTGGCTTAGAAATGAGAGGTAGAAAGCATGCCGCAGTATGAGACTGACTGCAAGGCCCCAGAGTGATGCCAGACCAAAGAGTCGCCATTCATGTGCCACACCTCCACTCCCCACTTCTCCCTACCTAGAAATTCCTATGACTTGTCTTCCTGGTTGAGAAGTAAAGAAACAATACACACCTTGAAGGTGCATCTTTTCAAAACAACCTTTGCTATAATGCTCATCTATTGCTTAAAAGAGAATGGTCCTGGAAGAGATAATGAGGAGGTAATATTTCAAATATCTCCTATTACGATGGATGTAACAAATTCAATGAACAAATACCCACTGAAAGTCCCTCTTGGGTCAGGCACTCAAGCCTATCTTCTCTGTAAATCTCAGTACAAATGTCAGAAAAGCAGAAGCCACAAAGGTCTTAAAGAGCATAAGACATGGAGAGCCAGCCTGGTAAACCATTGGGTAATTTAGAAACAAAACCAAAAAGAACAACCAGGAATCAGTAAGGTCGACAGTGGGTAAAGGCTGGAGGGGCAGAATGCTGTAGGCAAAAGGAAAGGAATGTTTGTAGGTTTTAACAGTGAAATATCAAGGGACTGAAGAGAAATGAGGACATTTAAGGGAAATACATGAGCAGGGAAGGTCCAGGGTCCAGAGGGCCTCCAAAGTCATGGTAAGAAGTACAGGCTTCATCCCATGGCCAATAGGAACTCCCTGTAATTAAAATTAACTTAATTATTTAAGATGCCTAAGTGGGGGGTATTTTATGCTTACTCTCTTGAGTTGAAGGGTCAAGATTAAAAGTGCCGTAAGACCGTGTGTCCTGCTCCACAGTGGAATGTTACAGCTCACGTCCATCTTCATACACTGTGCATCGCTGTACCAAATAGCTCCTGCATCACTGCAAACCCAAGTGTAGACAAGTGTTCATCACGTACCACCAAGAACTTTTCAACCTGATGGTCACTTAATGCTTGTTGCCAAGCCTCACGCTGCCCCATATCGTTCCTACCACACGGCTTTATTTTGTGCACAGGCGGGGACTCCTGAAGTGGGCACACGGGGGATGAAGTCGGGCAGCGGCCACTCCTGCTCCTCAACATGGCTTCCACCTTCTTTCTCTCTGGAATTCACTCTCCCCATACTTCAGCACTTATCTAGGCTCCCAGGGCTTTCTCCCCAGGGCAGCAACTTGTCTTGGAGAGAAATGCAGGACTCTTGTTCTACACGGTTGTCTTGGCAAGCCTCTCTTAGCTTTCTCTGGAAGACAATGAATGCAACAGCAACTGGCTTAAGTAACAACGCCAGCCAGCCCTGGGTTATCAATAACAGCAGCACTGTGGACCTCAGCCTGAGTAAGTGCCAGGGCCAGTTTGTCTCAGACATAAAGCTGCCTTCGGTAGCAATTAAAGCATCCCAAAGCAAACCCTGCATCTTCTACCTGAAAGAGGGCAATACTTGGACATCTGAACTCTTACGGTGAAACCTCATCAGTATTTGGAACGGTGTCTTGGAAGGTGATGCTTCACCCTTATGGATGATATTAGTGTCCTTATAAAAGAAACCCCAAGGGCTGGAGATACGGCTCAGCGGTTAAGAGCACTTGCTATTCTTCCAGAGGACGAGAAGTTTGGTTCTCAGAACCCACATTAGACTGCTCAACTCCAGCACTGGGGGATCCACCACCTCTGGCTTTCTCAAGTACCTGTACTCATGTGTACATACTCACATGCACACATACATCCACACAATTAAAATTAATAATAAATCTTTTTTAAAAAAAAAAAAAAAGAGAGAAACCCCAGAGACAACGCCTCCCATTGAAGACAGAGAAAAGATGCCCACCTATGAATCCGAGGCCCACTTTAGGCTGGTGCTTTGCTGTAGATGCCCAGCCTCCAAAACGGTGAGAAACTGATTTCTCTTGTTCATGCCTCACAGTCTAAGGGAGTTTGTTTTAGCAGCCAAGGACACAGCTGATAAAAGAACCAAGCAGGCTGGGCGGTGGTGGCGCATGCCTTTAATCCCAGCACTCGGGAGGCAGAGCCAGGTGGATCTCTGTGAGTTCGAGGCCAGCCTGGTCTCCAAAGCGAGTTCCAGGGCAGGCGCAAAGCTACACAGAGAAACCCTGTCTCGAAAAACCAAAAAAAAAAAAAAAAAAAAAAAGAACCAAGTGGATCAGACATCACACAGACAACCAAGGGGTAGCGGGCACTTACAGATAACTTCACACAGCACTTGTGAGCCACCACAGCCCAACTGCCATTTGCTGAGAACACCTGGTCTCATTCAACATTCCTAGCTAGCACGGGCCAGGGAAACCAGGCCTGGAGTGGAGGTGTCTGGTCGCTAGCTAGAGAGCTGGCCAGCCCCCGAGAACCAGAAGGCAAGAGGTCTGTCTTGCTCCCAGGAAATGCCCGGCATCTCTCTTCTTGAGCAACCAGTCACATCCCAATCTCTATCATGCCCTTTCCCTAGAGGAGGTGGGCAATAATGGGGTGACCTGCATACGGAAGCAGACTCTGAATGCACAGCCTGCGAGGCTACAGGCTCTCTTGATAGCGTTAACACAGAACCAAAGAAGATGGGGCCGTGAAGGGGAGGCCTGTGAGATCAGAGCACCTAAGGGTCCACGGCCACAGGGTCCTGAGGAAGGGCTGAGGGCTTGGGCATCGGTTTCACATGGCTGTTCTCTCAGCCAGCTCCACCACTTACTGGCTGAGGAGACCACTCGCAAGCTCTCTCATCTGTGTCTCGGGTTTAAAAGTGGAAAGATGGAGTACCCACTGCGCAGTCACAGTGAGGCTTGCAGTAATCGTTCGGGCCTGCTGTTTCCTGGTCTTTTTCCATAAAGAAAACTGCAGAACTCCAGCCTGACAGAAGGGTCTCCCAAAGGTGCCACGTGCATTTGGAAAGCATGAAGATGGGGGGTGGGGTTGGATACTGCCGACTGACCGTGGCTGTGTACAGTGAGTGACCTTAGTAACTGCGCCTAGTGTGAATGGGCAGGCCACAGATCTATGAAAACTTGATTATGGCACCAGAGCTCCGAGTATTATCTGGTAAGCATCCTGGAGCTGGTGGGCGAGGCAGAGCCATTGTTCCAGCAGGGTCTACAGAGGCGCCTGCTGGGGAGGGAGGCGGGCCAGCCGGCCCCGCTCAGCTTTGCTCTCTGTCGGTGGTAGCCATGTCCCCTCCCACGCGCCTCTGGAAATGCCAAGACCGGATGGAGTTATGAGTGGTCGGCGCTATCGTGGCTTCCCCAACTGTGCAACCTTTATGTACCTCGCCGGGTCTTCTTGGCCTGGAAGCCAACCCCCACTGCTGGATTGGGTCTTCTCTCCCAGGGAGGGCGCCGAAGCGCCCCCGTGGCAGGGTGGGGGCTGGGTGGAGGGCCAGCGGGGGATGGGTGAGAAGCCAAGAGGCAGAAAAAGAGGGGAGGAGGGGGGGAGGAGTTGGAGGCAGAGGGAACAGCAGATTGTGCAGAGCCAATGAGAGCAGCAGGCCGAGGTGGTACCAAATTCCCGTCGGCCAATGATGAGCCAGAGTTTACGAAAGCCTCATTAGCATCTCCCCCCTCCGCCTGGCTGGGGATGGGACAATGCGGTGTTGGTGTCTGCAGTATTCCGACTCCTGAACACTGGTGGCTGCAAGCTGCGATTTTGGCGTCCTCTCATTTCCTATCCTTATCTCCGCCCGCGGCTGCGTTGGCCAGCTAGCTTTTGATTTTTGTACCTGGTCATTGATCAATAAAGCAACCTAAGGAAATATAGGACACGATTACCTCACTGCCAGCTCTGGCCCTGGGCTTGTACAGCGAGCTCAGGGTCTCTGCACCAGTGGGCTGCAGAAACTTAGTCATAGCACCCTCAGTCCCTGAGGTCTGAAGCTCGCCGCTGCGCATTCTCCTCCCTGGGAACGTGACCCCAGCACCCGACGCAGAGATGCCAGCCCACATACTGCAAGAGGTGAGCTCCCCCCAGGTGGCCCCTCCCTCCCAGGTTGGTGGGTGCGGATTGGACTTTTGCAGATTAGACCTCTAGGTGGGTGGCTGGTTGGGGGTTGGAGAGAGTTCAGAGCAGCTGGGAGCATTTAGCCATCATTTCCGAGTTTTTCTACCGTGAATGATTGCTTCTCTACCGGGCGATGACCAGATTTTTACTCAGGGTAGTTGATCCCCCAACTTGTGTTTCTTAGTCTTTAAAGTAAAACCTGACCCTTTTTCGATGCTTGCAGGGTCTCCTTTGTGAGTTGCTAAGGGTGCTGCTAATAAAACGTCTGTCCTGCCCCTTGAGCATAAGGTTTATCACCGCCAGTCTGCACATTTCAGGAAACTTCCTCTTGTTCCATTTCGTGGTGCTCTCTACAGTCATGCAACCTTGGCACTGGGGTATGGCCGGTATTGCATCGTTCCGCAGTTACATTAGAGGAAAGTACCCCCTGCTGCCCCCAAGCGTTTGCAGCCCTAATTCTCCACCCCCTCTCCTGGCAGATGTCTGGCTCTTACTCAGCCACCACCACAATCACAGCGCCCCCCTCTGGGGGACAGCAGAATGAAGGAGAGAAGTTTGAAAAGAATCCTCACCACTGGGGAGCAGATGTTCGCCCCGAAATAAAAGATGACTTATATGACCCCAGCTACCAGGATGAGGAGGGGCCCCCGCCCAAGCTAGAGTACGTCTGGAGAAACATCATCCTCATGGCCCTGCTGCACTTGGGGGCCCTGTATGGGATCACACTGGTTCCCTCCTGCAAGGTCTACACCTGCCTCTTCGGTGAGCAGCTCCTCTTGTTCTGGGCCAATACCTCAGGTTTCTTCTTGCTCTTTAATGAGGTAGCCTCTGACCCAAGGCAGCTGCCCTTTATTTTTGGTTTCCGATGGACCATCTGGGCTGGGAAAAGAGCCCAGTGCGATTAGGATGGGGGGGGGGACTTGAATTTTAAGAATCTCTTAGCAGTGATGTTGAGGCCACTGAACAAGCTTTTCTGTGTGAGTCACATGATGGCACCTGTCCCAGCCCTGCCTGCCACAAAAGCAGCAGGCCCTGCTTAAGGGACTTTGGAACCAAGAACTAGACCAGGGGCCTCATGGGTGGCACCATGTTGAGCCCAGTGAGGGTACAGAGCCACGTGATACTATTTAGGAAGAGAGAACAGAAGGGGGTTATAAGCACAGCCAGAGCAGGCCTCCTGTTTATCCAAGTGCAAAGGGTGTATGGCTCCAGGTTTTGGCACGAGCCAGTCAACAAACCATTCTTAGCATAAAGTAAGGGTGCAGGAGTGTTTGACCTTCTATCCTGTCTGCTCATCCGCTGTGCCCACACCGTGCGACGAACCCTTTCCCTCCAAACACCATACCTAACACGTGCCTCCTTGGCAGGGGATAGAGCCTTGAGCAGTCCCAACCTTCAGACGGTTGTGATGTATGAGTGTGCCTCTACGTCACAGAGCTGCCTCACTGAGCTCCACGGGGATCCATGGGTACCAGGCTGGTGGTGCTGCTGCCTCCTGGGTACACACATGTACTTCGCAGGTGGTTTCACCTCTGAACCCTGAACTGGAAAGGAGAGCCCGGAGCTCTTGCTGCCCTCTGAGGGGCCATGAGCAAGGGATTCTTCAGCACGGTGGGAGGTTTTCTGGAGCACGTCTGAGTATGGACACTAATGGCCGCTCTCCTGGAGGACGGTGTATATACAGAAGGGCTGGTTGTCTGAGTGTTAGCTGCCTCTGCCTCAGTCCTCCCGGGTCTTACAGGTGTGGAGACACGGGCCTTGAGAGTTTTTCAGGTACCAAGTATTCCACTCATGATCTTGACACCAAATCTTGGTTGAGAGTAAGAATGGGATCCTTCTGTAGATTAGCCGTGGGCCCTGCCAGCCTTGTCCCTGGCTCGGCTGTTTGAAGAGTCTTCTGTACCTTCGTGGACCCTAGAACCCCAGGGCTGAATAGACATCTTTGACAACAATGAGAGCCTAATGGGCAAAACTGCCCCAGCCCGTTTTTGAATTTTCTGAAGCTATGAGGTGTTTCCTGCCCACTATTGTGGACACTTTCCTCTGGGAGACAGGGAAGGGATCTAAGTCTCTTCTGTGCTAGACTGGAAGGTGAACTGAGGAGACTTAAGACTTCCTGGGTTCTGTGTGGGCTCCCATGTGTCCTGTGTTCTACCCTCCACCATCACCTCCTGCTCCCCCCCCCCCCGTTAGTTATATTATCCGTGCTTTTGGATCCAATTTGTCTGGGTCATCTGCAGCATGGACCACGTGCAGGTGTTTCCTTGGTGTTCCACTGAGGACGTCTGCTTTGCCTAAAGCTCCCCTGTCTCTGGTTACCTTAGGATTTTTCCAGACATAAGTATGGTCAGAATTTCCCTTAGTATGCTGTCTGTTGCTCCCCTGGGATCATGCAGGAGGGACAGGAAGGGAGGAAGGAGAAGAGAGCGTTCTTAGGAAAGTTATTGTCTGTCTGCAGAAGGGCACAGAGCACTTTGTACAATGTGTGGTGTCTCCAATAGCAACTAAGTTCTGTAGGCTCTGAAGGTCCTTTGTTTTCTGATGTTCTTTGGGAGGGAATCAGCATTAGCCATTTCTCCCAAGGCCCAAGCCCCTGCTTCCTAGTCCTGCTAATGGAGGGGACATATGGGTGAACTGCTGTCCTCTTTCCCAGTTAGACTGTGACTGGCACTTCCTGAACTTGCATGCCTCAAGGACAGCGAGACAGTGCTCATCTGCCAGCCTTGAGCGTTTCCCGTAGACAGGAGCGTGGCCAAGGAGAGACAGGAGCTGGGCATACAGATCTTGGGGGCTGGATAGTAGGCCTGAAACAAGGGACGGGGACAGAAAACCCACCTTCAAACAGTAGACAAACCCTTGCCATCCAGAATCTGTACCTTCCACAGGAATGTATGGTACTGATAGCACCCACCTAGTTTGAGGTATGTGGAGAATATGAGACTTATTATCCTTGGTAATGTTTGAACCACTCTGCACATCTGACTATCCCTTATACTGCCACAGTGCTGAAGGGGTTTTGTACCCGCTGGTAAAAGCCTCGTGTGTACAGTACGTTGTTCAGTGTTTCCTCCAACTAGCCATCACCCTTGTTGCTTCACATATGCCTTTGGGTGTGGGTTCTAGGTTGAGAAATGCAGTTCCCTGACCAGAGTATCTTCGAGGACAGCTAGAGGTCAAAGAAGATAGGCCCTGGGAGGATGCCCTGATATGCTAGTCACGACCAGTGGCACAGAGGGGTAAAATCGCTGAGATTTCACAGACAAAGGCATCTCAGGGCTTCAGGGAAAACCAGACCTTTACCCAAAGGCTAAACAAGAAGCTGACTGGTGCTCAGAAACTGTCTTTGGCATCCTTCCCTTACGGAACTGGCCTGTTGGTGACACCCCCACTTTCTTGTCCTACAGCATATTTGTACTATGTCATCAGTGCCTTGGGCATCACAGCCGGGGCTCATCGCCTGTGGAGCCACCGAACTTACAAGGCGCGCCTGCCGCTGCGGCTCTTCCTCATCATTGCCAACACCATGGCTTTCCAGGTGAGAAGCTGTGCTGTTACTGTGTCTCCACCCCATGGTGGGCAGTCAGGCATCTTAGGACAGCCATCACCCTTTCTAGTCTCCTGTGGTCACCGAGAATGCAGACTCAGTGCTGAAGTCCATATACCATAGCGTCACTGAGAAGGGAACTACGACAGGGTCCCCAAGTGCTGGGTCAGTTTTCAAGGTCCCTGTGGTGTCACACAGCATGGTTGTTGTGGGTCTTCAATGTAAAGGATGAGGCGCCAGGGCCAGGTACTGACCCTGATTTCCTAGACCGTAAGTGAAGAGTTCACTCACGCGTTAAGGTAACTGTCTCAGACTACACCACAGGGGGACAGAAGGTGATGTGTCATAGACTCTGGAGCTCTGTCGTTTTACAACAAACACCAGGCATTTAGTGTAGACTAAGTCCTCACAGCTATTTGAGGTAGCAGCTACTGTTACTACCTTTTACAGACGAGGAGATGCCCAGAGATTGGTTCCGTCAACACAGCAGTCCTGTGCGAGGGTATGGTGGGAAGTAAAACATCTTGAAGATTGTTCAAACAACAGACTTTAGCAGAACAAGGATAGAGAATTGGGAGGGGACTCTCGTGGCTACTGAGCTTTAAGGACACAGGATAAAGCCAGTGGTGGGTTTAATTTGTAGCAAGAGGAAACTAGGAAACCAAATTAGTCCCCTCTTGTTAAGATTTGAGGTGCTCACCAGATATACCCAATTGCCTCTGGCCTAGCAACTTTATCTTTACAAGATTCTTGAGGACAAAGGGAAGGAAGAGACACTGGTGTACTTTTGAAGGTTTGGGAGGACCCAGAGAAGTGCAGGGGTCCTTTGGAAATGTGCCCATGCTCATGCGTTAACGTTGGCCTTGGTTGGCATTCCTTGCCTGTTTTATAGAGTTGCACCCTAGGACCCAAGGCCACTTGCCTCATACTCCGAGCCAGAAGATAGGATACTCCACATGCACTCTGTCCCATAGCCACTGTCTGAAAAGCTGCTATGTGGGTCATCACGATGGCTCAGTGGGTAAAGGCGATTTCTGTGCAACCCTGATGACCTGGCCTTGATCACTAGAGCCTGCTGTGTGGAAGGAGAGAACCGATTCCTGAAAGTTATTCTCCGACCACACATAAAAGGATGAACTTTAAAAAAAAAATCCACCATCTTACTTACCAATGAAACATGAGGGCTGCATATCTGCTCTCTCCCTTCTGTACAGCCTCAGGAAGTAACCATGCTGTTCCTGTGTTCTGGGACTTTTAAGTTGCTTTTCTGTACGTACTTCCAAGGCAAATGTGAAGCAGAGGAGAGCCCCTCACCTTCGCCCTGTGCATATTCTTGAGCCAGAGTCCTGAGGATTTTGTGGGTTAGGCTGAGAGTTCTGGGCCCTTGCATTCCCCCAGGAGGGCATCTCTTCTCAGTACTGGGGTCCTCTTTCCTGTCCCTCCAGAATGATGTGTATGAATGGGCCCGAGATCACCGCGCCCACCACAAGTTCTCAGAAACACACGCCGATCCTCACAATTCCCGGCGTGGCTTTTTCTTCTCTCACGTGGGCTGGCTGCTTGTGCGCAAACACCCGGCTGTCAAAGAGAAGGGTGGAAAACTGGACATGTCTGACCTCAAAGCTGAGAAGCTGGTCATGTTCCAGAGGAGGTGAGTGAGGGGGTTGGCCCTGGGAATGTGGGGCTTACACTCTGCCTTTTTTCTTAGGAACTGTAAAATTAAAGCCATGACTTAATGGGTTTACATGTTCAGTTCATTTTAAAACCTATTTTTAATGTCCTATGGGCCACAGAAATAAATAAACTAATTTTTCTTTGTATGTGTTATCTGATTGGAACCAATTAAATGCAAAACAAAACAAAAACCCTGTTGTTGTCCTAGAGAAAAGGACAGAGAACTGAGTGTAATGGAGACCTTATCTTGAAGGAGTAGGTAGTCTACTGTGTCTCTACCGGACGGATACAAAGAGCAGGGAGGTTCTCATTGAAGGAGTTCAGGGAAGGGCTTAGGAGAAGTGATGTTGAATCCCCAGCTGCATGGAGACATCACAGGTTTCGGAGGGGGACTATGGAGGCAGAAGGCAGTGAGGTAGAGCCTCAAGAATGTTCCAGGAATGAAGCCCTCTGCTTGAAGTACAGGGTGTGAGAGATAAGAAGGCCAGTCAAGACGTTGCTGGTGCCCTTCCTATTGAGGAGTCCTACATGCAGACTTCGAGTGGTTACGATAGCAATAGCGTTACTAAGGGGTCCTTTAGCAGCATGAGGCTGGTGCCCACTCATGGGAGGGGCACGTTAGGTGGTAGGAGGAGCCTAAGCCAAGGAACCCGAGGTCGAAGCTGACAGAAAGGAGTTTGATGCGGGAAGCTTCCCGTGATGTAAACATGGAAGGCATGGCTGTGGGAGTCAGTTCCCTTGGAGTATCTGGCTAGTGTTGCTGTAGGGTCGGAGGCCTGCAGTTGGTCCGGGACACTCTGAGCATTTGGGGGTGGGTCAGCAGAGCTAAGAATGCTCGTAGCTGGAAATAGAGGCATGACACCACACACTGCACCTAATAAATAAGACTCCAGTGGTCATGAAAGCAAAACACAAAGGCAGGTCAACAGCAGCCCAGGAAGCAACTGTGATAGCAGAGTCATTTATTGTATCCGTATTGTCCCATCTACACCGTAAGATAACAGCATTTGCTCTCAGATTTCCCACCACATCTTTTGGGGGGCTGGTTCCTGCTACTCTTTACTCATGGTATAAGGGGGAAACAACCCTGCCTGCCTGCCAGGAGCGGACAGTCCATGGAAGTGTGAGAGTCCTCTCTCCACGGACTCTGAAATGTACAATCTCGTTGTAGGTACTACAAGCCCGGCCTCCTGCTCATGTGCTTCATCCTGCCCACGCTGGTGCCCTGGTATTGCTGGGGTGAAACTTTCGTGAACAGCTTGTGCGTCAGCACCTTCTTGCGATACGCTGTGGTGCTCAATGCCACCTGGCTGGTGAACAGTGCCGCTCACCTCTATGGATATCGCCCCTACGACAAGAACATTAGCTCTCGGGAGAATATCCTGGTTTCAATGGGAGCTGTGGGTAAGTTGCCAGCGAGACCACATCTGGCAGCTTGCTGCTGGAGATGCTTGGCCAGGAGCCAGAGGATTCTGATTTTTGTATATTTCCCGCTATAACACTGGGGATAATTTTATTTGGGAAGCCTTTAAGAGGCCATAACTTCTGTGGAATGGGTAAAAAAATCTGCCATAATGGGCCCTTTTGAGTTTTTTCCGTTTCCTAGTCACCTCTGGCAGATCTGCAATCTCACTCAGTGCAGGGATCATAAAGAGAAAAGGAGGGTTGTATTCATGAATATAAGTCTCATGTTTTTATTTAGCCATGCTGTATAAAAGGCAAGGTGGTAGTGGCGCACACCTTTAATCCCAGCACTCAAGAGGCAGAGCCAGGCAGATCTCTGTGAGTTTGAGGCCAGCCTGGCGTACAGATCGAGATTAAAAAATCAACAACAACAACAACAACAAAAAGCAGAATGATTGCAGTTTAGTGCAGTGCATTTCAAGTACGTTACATGGATAGTACTTTTATCTCTAGTGTGCCTGGACGTGGCTTGTCCATCAGTGATGCCTGTGGTGGCCATTAGCCCACACGCCTTCCCACTCCCTACCACCCGCTTTTCACATGTCCTTTGTTTCTCTGTTTTCTCCTATTTTGTGCTAGAGTTCCCCTCTCCACAACATTGCTTGGGGAATCCTACCAGATCACTTGATTGTAGTTGATCCAGTCTATAAATCCAGCCCCAGCTGTCAGGATGAATGAACGCATGCCTCTGTGACCTGTGCCCACATCTTCCTGCCTTCCCAAGAAGAGAGTTTGAGAAAGGCCTGGAGTTAGTTTTCCCTGTACTGACCCGTGGCTTCGCTTCCTTAGTGAAAGAGACAGTGGTCGCCCGATGGCACTGTTGATGGGTGCTCATCTTTCTAGAACACTCGTTAACTTAGGCTAGGTTGGATATTACTAACAGTACCTTTTCTGGGTTGGCACGATGGTTCATCAGGTAAAGGCGTTTGCTCGTCAAGCCTGACCAGCCCGAGTTTGACCCCTGGGACCCACATAGTGGAAGGAAAAGTGCAAGTTGTCCTCCGACTACCACGTGCATGCTATGGCATGTATACACATGTATATACACATGCAAATATTAAAAATAAATTTAAAATACTTTCCTTTTTACTATTTGCACGTAGCCTTCTTTTCAGAGGCCTACCATTGCTCGTGTTCTTTAATTTATGTTTGAAATAAATTGCCTACACTCTACAGTGCTAAGATCCTCTTGGAAATGAAGTAATTTGGACAAGGTGTGTAGATCCCATAATATAAGTGGAACTGTGATGCCTTTGAGGGTATCTGTTTGCTCAGAGAAAAAGATAATGGATTTATCCAGTCACCCACCCACCTGCAGTCTGACTCTCCAAGGTCTAAGGAACCCACTGGGTTAGAGGGGTGCTAAGAGCAGGAAGCAGCCATCACCGAGCCCCCTAACTGCTCTCCACGCTTCTGTTCCAGGCGAGGGCTTCCACAACTACCACCACGCCTTCCCCTACGACTACTCTGCCAGTGAGTACCGCTGGCACATCAACTTCACCACATTCTTCATCGACTGCATGGCTGCCCTGGGCCTGGCTTATGACCGGAAGAAAGTATCTAAGGCTGCTGTCTTGGCCAGGATCAAAAGAACTGGAGATGGGAGCTGCAAGAGTGGCTGAGTTTGGGATCTTTCAGTTTCTGTTCCAAAAGCCAGCTTGGCAGAGGCTTAATGTTCTGTTAATTAACTACTGAGTATTGCTACCCAGATGCTAAAATGATGACGTTAACCCATTCTGGTACAGTATTGTAAAATGGACAAGTATCGGAGGTCAACAGCTCTTCCCTTCCCATGCTAAGCTGATCTTCTCTTCTCTTTTCGTTGTCTTTTTCTTTGCTTTGTCCCTGTTGACCTCATTTCTCATCGCCTCCCAAGCCAGCCGCTGCTCCACCGTAGGTCAGTGTTCACCTTCCAAAGCATACCAACTTTCCAAGGGTCTAAAAGTAAAGGTTTGTGCCCCACCCCCAACTCTTAAGCTGTTCTGAGTTAGAGATACAAGAAAATCTGCAGAGATTTCTCCTGTTATTTTTAGCCCAGGCTTTGCCAGACGGAGTGGAAGGTAAATCTTAAGGGGCCAAATTCAGCATGCAGGCTGTGATTCAGCCAAGATGTGGGAGAGGGGAATCTTGTGTGATCAGGCTCAGCTGTTGTCTCGCAGAGGCAGTGGAGCCTTTCCACACAGCATGCCTCCTCTCCTAATTCTGAGTAGGTGACAACCATGGGACTTGGTGACATTGGAGTACAAGTAACACATATCAGTATCTCAGTGTAGTTTAGGCTGAAGATTAAAAAAAAAAAAGTAAAAAACTGTAGGGAAAGTGGTCTCTACTGAGAAAAAATTTTCTTCTCCTTTAATAATAAGGACATGGGGCCAGGTGTGGTGGGTGGCATATGCCTTAAATCACAGCACTTGAGAGGCAGAGGCAGGTGGATCTCTTGAGTTCAAGGTCAACCAGGGCTAGTTGGTGAGACATCAAATAAATAAATAAAAAGTGATTATAAGGGCATAAGAGCCAGAGGTCTTTGGGTGAGGCATGCTTGGAATTGATGAGGACAGTCACTCATAGTTTTGAGCATTCTGTGAGTTGCACGCCCAACTTCTGATTCCCATTCTTCTGTCTGGTTACTCCCATAAATTAAGGATGGCTGTGGCGTTTCTATACATTGAACAGTGGAAGCATTTTAAGAGTTGAACTTAAGCCACACTTAAAACTGAAGAGACATAAAGTCTGCCCTGGAACTTGCAAATACTCAGAGTGCTTCCCTCCGAAAAGGAGACGCTGAACGTGTTGTCTGTTCCTCCCACTGTTGGGCAGCAGGTGGAGAAGTTGGAAGGCGTTGTAAGGCAGCTCCTAATAACTTTCCAGAGGAAAGCTGCTGGGGACACATTGCCAGGGGGCTTCAAAGTTTTGGGGTATCCTAGTGAAAACAGGTTAGATGGTAGCTCTTCGCTCTTTATCATAAGGCTTCCCTTACAGTACTGACTCATGCCTCGTTGGCTCTTTGGCCATCCAGCCTACATGGAGGACTCTGTCTGTGACACATGGCCCAAAATCTCTTAGCTCTACCACGTCTGCCTCTTTTTCCCATTTTTGTGGTTTGGGTTGTATGTTTGTTTGGTTTTTTTTTTTTTTTTTCTTTCCTCTTTGACATTTAGTCTTGCTCTAGGCAGAACTGTCCTGTGTATTCACAGGCAGTAAATGTGCAGTCCCAGCGGCTTCTTGTTCAGAGATAGGACGCTGTATCAGTAGTAAGGAGAGCTGGCTGTCCCCTTTCCAGTGACTTTCAAATCCTCCACCTCTGTCCCTTAGGCTTCTGACACTCTGGGAACTGTAAAGAAAAAGGTTGGCAAACTTTCTAGAAACATCCCTGACTCAAAGAGGCTCTTTTTCTCGTGAGTCATTCCAAAACAAATAGTCGTGTTGTGCCAGTGTGCCGGGGAAGGGCGAGACACAGTTCCTGGTTTTTAGCCGCAGTGTGAGTCAGGGCAGAGCATGCTCAGTGCTCCCCCACATGTTCAGTAAAGCTCTTTGGGCTCCTCAGTACTCCTGGGCTACATGTTGGCTAAGTGCAAAGCACAGGAACCCAGGTCTGTGTTCTTAAGTGCCTCAGCTGGAATCCCTTATACCTGGAGCCACAGTCCGCTGCAAAGCTTTGGCTAATATAGGAGGTCGAGATGCCATGGACTTTGCAAAAAAAGGATTTTGTTCAGCAAACTGATTGGCGTGTCCGTCCCTGTAGCTCACTCAGCACTGCAGAAATGTGGGTCTGCTGTATTAAGATTGGCTTGTAGTGTGCCAAATGCTGTATAGACTACTGCGTCCCACAGTCTTCCTGTGTTGGTGGAGTAAAGGCTTCAGGACCTCTGTGTGCCCACATGAAAGCAGCCTTACCCTTTAGCTGTTCACCTAAAACAGAATTCTTGGGAGATTACAGTGTATTTGCTGACCTGTGGGCCCTCTTCCTTGGAAAGGCCTTTTGGGTTAGCAGGTGCCCGCTTAAATAATATGTGAAAAACAAAAGCAATTTTCCTCTTCTAAGCCTGCCCCGTGGATCTGAACCGTGCTGTGGCTGAGGACCCCCGTTATATATGTATCCTGCCGATAAGGGTGTACCAGCTCACTAAGGAATACTACTTTCAGGATTTTAAAGCTCAAATCAAAGTGACACATTAATAAGAAACTAAGATCTGATTGAGTGACTTCCTAACAGTCCTTGCCATGTGGACATGCTAAAATCTGACTTGGGTGCCTTACCTCTTTAATCTGTTGCTTGTAAGCCTGCACTCTGCCTCTGTGGAGTCCCTTGAAAACTGGAGAGCCTGTCCGTGTGGCAGTATCAACTGACCTGGCTGGAGGAGGTCACTGTACATCAATTTGCAGCATTCCCCTTTGGGGGCTTCATTTGGGGAAGTTTTCTTAGGGCTGTTTTGATGAAGTGCCCATAGCTGATGGATGGTGGAAGTAATTTGAACGTATGTGATTTGTAGGGTTTTGCTATTTGTTTTGAGACTAAACGCTGGTTGTAGCATTTAAAGTGAAAGCTTTTCTTCATGGTTTGCTAGTATCCTGAGCGTCTTCTTTAGCTGAAATAGGTTAGTAGGAAAGTTAAGAAAGCGGCGGCCATGTTATGCTGGTGGTGAAGGCCAGGGCCTCCTACCACGCTCCATTTTTTTGGTAACAGTCCCACTCTCTGACAAATAATGAATTCACTCCTTGGACAAGGATGTTAATGAGGGAAGTGCCCTCCCGACCTAATCAGCTCTTAATGGTCCCAGCTGTCAACACTGTTGCATTGGGGATTAAGTTTCCCAACCCATGAACTATGGGACAAACTCAAACCATAGCACTGGATATGTCAACTTAACAATAATGTGACTCAGTATTACTTCTGTGAAACTGGGATAATAATCCTGACCTACCTCAGTGGGTAGGTTTGAGCAGGGCTAAATGCTCTTTATAAAACATTTGGGGATCCCTCAGCAGAGGAATATTTAAGTCCTGCACATTTTTTATAGTAACTGTGTCCCACCATGGACTTGACACGTGCCTATGTCCCAGATGACATTGTTAATCTACATCATTCTTTTCAGAGATTGAATGGATGCGTTAGATAATGTATACTCATTGCTATGAAAACATGCAGGACTCCATTTCCTTCCTTGGGTGGGATTTTTCCTTTATTATGTGCAACAGTAGTTATTTGTAATTAATAATTTTCATTAATACCAACTCTGAAAGTATTTCTACTCATCTGAGGTTGTGTTTGTTCATAATAAAATGAAATGGATCTGACTGCAATATGTCTCAGTGTTTTGACTATGTCTGGTTCACCCACCCCACACAATGTCCTTCACCTTTAAGAGAGAAAAAGAATTTAGAAGCCACGGGGTTTGAGTCATACCCCAGTAAACCTGCTCTGCCTTTCTTAGGTATAATTTGAGGTTCAGTTCCGGCAACAGGAAACTGGTAGTCATTTGGCGTTAAATAAAAAAACATCACCAGCTGACTACCTTGGCTTGGAGAAGTGCCAGGTTTCCATGTATCTCATGGCCAAATGGATATAACCAACATCACCTAAAGAGCAGATCTTCCCTTGCAGCTCAGGTTGGGCAGTCCAGCTTATCTCAGGAACGTCCTGTCTTGGGTAGCTTCTGAGCATGTTAATTCACTGTATTGTTTTCCTCTAGCCTTTTCTTCTTTCTCTGAGGTTACTTATGTACCAAAAATGGGAACACACAGACTGTAGAAGGCTGGCTTTCCTGCAGGTACTTCCCCAGCCGACATCTGGGCTTCCAAGAGTACACAGCTATTGGCACCGGTTCACTTCAGCCGATCTACCTTTACCTTAGACATTCTAAAGGTCTCTTACAAGGCCATGGTGCAGGAGGGTGAGGGCGGAGGACCTCAAAGTTCAAGGCTGCCAGTGAGGACTGCTTCAAAATTTAAAGAAGTAAAGGGGAGGGCTGGGTGCGGGGGTGGGGGGGGGTGTAGCTTAGTAGGGGTGTCTAGCATGAAGTCAATGCAGGTTCAATCCCTAGAACTCAACTAAGACTCATTAATTCTGATTACCCAGAATCAGAGACTGTATGCTGAGTCTTTTCCAGCCCTTAAGAGCCAGGCCAACTATTATTTTTCCCTCTCCTTGTTCAAGGGTAAACACTCCCAGAAGACAGTAATAAATTCTGTTTTTTGCATGATTTGTATGGGAGGTTAAAAGTAGGAAAAGATCCTAGCAGAATTAAACCATGTCACAAAAGTAAAAGAAAACAGTTTAAGATGACAACGAGGGTGAATGCGAGAGTGGAAGACCTGATGCCCGATGACTCCAGTTATTTCCTCCCACAGGAAAACCAGGGATGTCCTACGAGGGCAAGAAAAGGGAAAGAAACAAAAACTCTTTGTAGATGACACAACTGTATACAACTCTTAAGCCATACATGTAGCAAACTGGAGGCTGTTAATGTCCTGCCAGAAATAATATGCAAATAAACTTACTGCCAAAAACCCAGCAATAAATAACTTTAAAATGACATGGAAGTGAATTATCACAAGATCAAAAGCAGTGGGTGTCGTGCTCAAGAAGTGCTCCAGGTGCTGCACAGAAAGTATGAAGTAGCCCCGCCCGGTTGGGTGGTCACAACTTTGACCCCAGCACTTGGGGGGTTGGGGGTGGGGGCGTGTGAGGGTGGCAGAGGCAGGTGGATCTCTTCGACCAGCCTGGTCTAAGTGAGGACCCCCGGCCAGCCAAGGCACATAGTGAGACCCTGTCTCAAAGAAAAGTTCAAAGTACTATTGAAAGAAATCAGAAGATATCTAAATAAGGAAAGAGAACATTATGGGTTGGAAGACTTAATATTATTAAGATGGTAATGTTCCCAAAACAGACCAATAAATTCAAGACCAATCCTTATCAAGTGTCAATTTCCTTTTAGGCAGATGAATATATAGATCATAACATTCGCAGGGAAATTCAGGAGACCCAGGATTAGACAAATGAAGAAAGAAAAAAAAACCTCACAAAGATAGAGGAAATTTATTTCCTTATTTCAAACTTTTTTTTCAAAAGGTGGTGGTGTCGCACACCTTTAACCTCAGCACTCGTGAGGCAGAGGCTGGTGGATCTCTGAGTTCAAGGACAGCTTGGTCTACAGAGCAAGTTCCAGGACCAGCCAGGGCTACACAGAGAAACCCCTGTCTTGAAAAAGAAGAGGAGGAGGGAAGAAGAAAGAAAGAAAGTATAAAAACCAGAGAAATTCAGTGGAATAGAATAGAGAATTTACAAAGAAATCATACATTTATGATTAACTGCTATTTGACAAGCACTCAGAATAATTCAGCTGGTAAAGAGAATCTCCCAACAGAGTTAAGCAAGTAGATATCCACATGTAGCTGTTCTCGTTGTTAGTACACCACCTCATCACATACAACCATGAACTAAAAAATATATTAGATAAAGCCAAAACTCTCTGAGGAGAAAACACCACTGTACACCTCCCTCCCATCACATAGGATAAGAGAGGGCAATAATTTCCTGGATTTGGTAGAAAAACAGAAGCAACAAACATTTTTAAGTATATGAATCAGGTTTCATCAAAACTGAGATTTTTGTCCTTCCAAAGGTAGTACCAGGAAATTGAAAAGGCAATTGGGATGAGGACCTAATGTTAAAGAGTATGATATGAATGCCTTCAGCAGGATTGAGCCAGATCCTCACTGCATGGAAGCAAGGGTTTATACTACTGAGCTAATTATCCTAGACCCACAGCAAAGGAACCCTTACAAGCCAACAAGAAAAAGACAAGAAAGATACAATAACAAATATATAATAACAATAAACACCTGCTATTAAAAATAAGGTATCTGTACCAAGTGAGTCCCAGGAAAAGGCGCAAAGCTACACAGAGAAACCCTGTCTCGAAAAAAACCAAAAAAAAAAAAAAAAATAAGGTATCTGAATAGACATTTATGAAAAGAAGACCCATAGATGGGCAGTAAGTACATGGGGCATACCTGGAGTATATACCAAGCACCATAGTGAAACACCTCATTTCCAATAAGATAGCTACAATGAAAAATAAAAGTAAACACCAAGTGCTGCTGAGGATGTGGACAAATCGTTAACACTCATACCTGGACGGAAATCTGAGATTGTACAATCTCCTTTGGAAAGGGGATTAGCCATCTCCCAAAGAGTTAACAACAACGCAAGAACCAGCTCACTTCAGGTATCCACCCAAGACGTGGAAAGATGTGTCCACACAAAAACTTGTATATGAATGGTCCTACCTCTATTTCATAATAGTGCAAAACAGAAACAATCCAAAATGTCTACCAGCAGATGTGTAAACACAATGTGGTATGTTCATACAGTGCAGTATTTCTCAACCATAAGAATTAAGTACAAGATACAGCATTTTTCCAAGTCAGACACAAGAGGCACTGTATGGGTTTTATTTATATGAAATGTCTGAAACAGGCACATTTAGAGTCGGAAGGCAGATTGGGATTTACCAGAGGCCAGAGAAGAATAGAAGTAACAAGCCCCCTTTTTTCGGCAAGTGACAAACCTTTCCAAAAGTTCGATGCCTGGGCTGATGGTTGCCCAGCTCAGCAAATATATGCCTAGAAGTGGCTAATCATAAATTTTATTCTTCTATTTTTTTTTTTTTTTTGAGATAGGGTATAGCCCTGGCTGTCCTGGAACTCTCTCTCTCTCTGTAGACCAGGTTCGCCTCAAACTCAGAGATCCACCTGCCCTCTTGCCTCCTGAGTGCTGGGATTAAAGATGTGAGTCACAATAAAAGTCCTGGCTTACTAATCATGAATTTTAAAAGTGTGATTTTATGGTTTGTGGGTCATGTCTGAATAACAAACATTGAAAGAAGAGCACTTGGTGTTTTATTGGTTTTAGTACTGGTAGAGGCTCAGATTCAAATGAAAATGTATTACGACAGCACTGGTGAAATTCAAGTCTTTGATTGAAGGACACACTCCGTCTATATTCTATTTAATTCAACAGTGATGTGGTTTCTGATATCAGACTTCAAAGACACAAAGTCTAACCACGCAACAAAAAGCAGCTGCGATAATGTAGACTCTGAGATGACAATCTTGCCACATGAAATTACAGTGGTTGGGAAAAGCCAGATACCATCTTCGTAAGTGAAAAGGGCTTGCACCAAACATAAACCCAAACCCAGGGTCTTTTGAAGCTGCACAGTCAAGTTCTGAGTCTACGAGGCTGGAGGATGCAGTGGCAATGCCAGCAGCATTTCTCTGGTCAGGCACCAAGCTAAAGGCTGGAAGATGCTCATCTCACATCAGAAGCGGGTGATGGGTCCTTCCCATGTGGTGGCTGGGGTCATTTAGAAGTAGCTAGTGTAGTGGTTTGGCTCCCCCAGAACCGAGGCACAGTCACCCTGCATGAACTTACTTTGTTCTGACCAAACAAACAAACCCAGCTCACCCTTCCCCTGTGACTACCTTAGTATTCCACCACACCTGAATTTTAAGCCCACCTCTCAGACCATATGAATAGTGCTGACATTTCCTCGTGACTTTTATGAACTGCAATCTGGTCCCATATAAATCTCTGAGCATCTCAAGGCCTCTATTGCAAATGTCTCCCGGCACCTCAACAGTGGTACTCAGTGGTAAATGTCACAGGAAGTGGGAGTTCTGTTCTGTGACCTGTACTTAATGTTTCTATGCCACAAAGAAAGCACTGACATTTTGAGCAATTGCTATAAACGCCAATGATAAGCTCCCCCAAGGGGCAGAGATTCTTATCTGCTGCTGGAGGCAGAAAGAGCCCTCCTCCTCTGGTGACCCGCCCCTCCCACACTATCCTGCCCAGCCTGCTCTGCCCAGGCAACAGAGAGCTCACAAAAGAGCAGTGTATGCTGTGCTGACTCATGGTGATTTCGGTGCTGGGGGACATCCAAGAGCCGCATTGGCATCTTGGCCATTTCCCCACAAGGAACAATGAGCAGTGAGGGTCAGGCTGCAGCAGACTGTGAACGGGGAGAGGAACTGAGAGAAAAGCGGTGGAGAGAGGCCTGCTCCGTCCAGCACCACACCTGCCTGTATTCTTACAAACTTTCCTTTAGAGATGGGGGGGGGGGGGGTAAGAATAATTCTCCTCTGAGTCTATTTGTGTTAGTTACAACTTGTTAACCCGGAGTGATGTTTCCTCATTGTAGATGCTAGGTGCTTGCTTTATTTATTTATTTTGTTTGTTTGTTTGTTTATTCATTCATTCATTAGTTTTTAGGGCTGATGATACACGTAGAACTCTTGTCATGCATTGCAGGATGCCCTAGGTTGCATTTCCAACACTGAAAAAACAAAAATAAAAACACCTAACTAAACAAATGGCATTATTAATGCACTATATTAAAGGTCATAATATTGTTTAAGTACCATTATTATTGTTATCATCATTGTCTGGCTTTTTATTTTGTAGTATTCTTTTTTTAAAATTTTTATTTATGTGCATTGGTGTTTGGCCTGCATGTGTATCTGTATGAGGGTGTTGGGTGGTCCTGGAACTGGAGTTACAGGACAATTGTAAGCTGCCCCTGTGGATGCTGGGAATTGAACCAGGGTCCTCTGGAAGAACAGCTAGTGCTTTTAGCCACCTGAGCCATCTCTCCAGCCCCCAATCATTTCATTTTTTGAGACAAGGTTTTTCTCTGTAGAGCTGGCTGTCCTGGAACTCACTCTGTAGACCAGCTGGCTGGCTCCTGCCTCCTGCCTCGCTAGTTTTGGGGTTAAAGGTGTGCACCACTGTGTCGCGTCTCATCATCTTCATCATCCTCAAACCCCAAAAGGAAACCCCATATTCATTCAGATGACTCCTCACGGCTTTCCTACTGTATCAACAACCCAATCTACTGTCTATGGATCAACTGTTCTGCATATTTCAGAAAAACAGTCATACAGCGTGTGTCCTGACGTCATCCCAGCATGTTATTCTGTGTGTTTCTTTGTAATAGGCCCCCCAGACCTTAGTAGAACTTTCAGATCTTTTTTCTTTCTTTCTCTTTTTTGAAAGGCAAGACAAAGGTTTAGTTTTAAATGATTACAAGCACATCAAAATAACATATAACATGTTCTTGAGTCCTAGCATCTAGCAATTTGGGTTAAGATACACTAACAGCAGCCTGAACAAGCATATTCACCGTCCTAAATTAGCCAGAACGGACGGACCTGTTAGGCTGGCTGCTGCTTCATAGGAGTTACAAAGGCTATTTACTACTTTTTTTTTTTTTTTTTTTTATAGATAACGCCCCTGACCTTTAAGAAAGTGGAAAGGGAGCCAGGCGGTGGTGGTGCACGCCTTTAATCCCCAGCACTCGGGAGGCAGAGCCAGGCGGATCTCTGTGAGTTCGAAGCTAGCCTGGTCTGCAGAGGGAGCTCCAGGAACAGGCACCAAAACTACACAGAGAAACCGCTGTCTCAGAAAAAAAACACAAAAAAAAAAAAAAAAAGAAAAAGAAAGAAAAAGAAAAAAGAAAGCGGAAGGGAAGAATTTACTCCCTTTCTTTCTTCAAAGAATTGGTTTTGTTTTTTTTCCTACTAGACTAATAAAAGAAAAATCAACAGTGATACCTGCTGCTTGTACAAACACACAGGAAACATACACTCCTTAAAGGCACACAAGGTAGAAAGATGAAACTTCAGGTACTTACTAAGCTGTACAAAAAGCTGGATTTGATACTCTCAACAAGTGAAGGATCTACAACAGTACAGAGAAGCTTAATGCCTTCCAGAACAGAACTCGGGCTCTGTGGAGGTTTTCCTATTTTGTAAGGGCGTCTCCCAAGCCAATCCACAGAGGATGTGCTCCTATCTCCTATCCGTTTATGGGGTAGTTTGCACGTATTTCAGGCCAGATGTCACACACAAAGGCCAAGAGGTTATCCAGGTTATCCAGGATTTCATCCCTGTTCTGCTGGAAGAAGTTCTGGAGGACAGTCATCTTCTGATGGGTCTCCTTCTCCACCTCACTGCTACAACTGCCATGGGACCCCAGTGCCGCAGCTTCCCTGGCCTTGAACTCCTTCTTCCTCTGCAGGCAGTACTGTTCAGTCTCAGCCTGGGCTTCTTTGGCCCACCTCAGCCTCTCCCCATAGGCTCAAACACACAAAGGAGGTCCTTTGGCTCTCGGATCTTAACACAACTGACATCATGATGGAAGTACTATACAGGCCATGGAACCCAGCACGTAGGCAGCATCACCTGCCAAAATGAAAACAAAGACTTAATTCATCAAAGTCCATAGTTCTGGAAAAGTCTCTAAATGTACTAACTGTGCTTTTTGGTTTCTGTAGTTCCCCTTCAGGCTAACTGTTCTTGCTGAGATGTGTCAACCAAGGACATAGTTTTTGCACTTAAAAGTTCACCCTGAGAAAGGTTCAGGGCTACGGGGGAAATGCCCAGCATGGTCACCAGCCAGCTAATAAAGACTTTCTACTGGCTTAAATCCGCGTCCAAGTAGTCTCCTCCAGCAGATACCTCACATCTTCACACTGTGGCCTATATGGGTTTTTCACTCTTCTTTATTTAGCATTCCACTGCATTGGTAGAGAACAGTTGAGTTGCTCCCTCACCCCCCACTTCGGCTACGATGAATAGTGCACTTTGCACGTTCATGTGCAAATATTTTAACACCTACTTTCTGTTGATTTGTGTACACAAGATGAGATCTCTCCTGTGATAATTTTGTTCAATTTTTTGTGGGGTGCACAGTTTTCAACAGCGGCTGACGCACTCTTCATTGAAAACCAGCAACGACGGAGTGTCACCCTTGACCCTTCACCCTAACATTTGTCCCCTTCGGGGTTGAGTGGAAGAAGCTGCGCTTGTACTAGCAGGATTCATTTAGCCAAAGCTTCCAGCCATGCCTCCAGCCACACCTTTTCCAGAACAGGCAGTGTGGCTACTTCTCTGGATCACTAATGCATCGCGCCCCCACCCCCGACACACCATAAACTACTGTGCTGGTGACCTCACACGAAGCCCTATTAAATTCCAACACAGGTTAAGCCGAGGGCCTGAGACAGAAGGAAGCATCCAACGCTATTTTCTTCCAGTCCTGGCCCTCTGCGGGTGCCTGCTCTCCGAGGTCCAGCTAGGGCGGGAACACGATCCCGGGGTTACTCTCGGTCAGCACCCGCCCCTAGAGTCACTCGCGTCCACTCGGCCCACAGCGCCTGACCCCGCGCAGCCAATCAGCAGCCGCACCAGCCTCTGTCCCCGCCCTCCCCAATCACGAAGCGCCGCCCCTACAGCCTGCCGGGAGGAGCGGGTGCACGTTGCGGCCGCAGTTGGAGCCAATTTAGAGCTTCCTAGGGATGCACCGCTTTGGACTCTGCAAGGCCCGCGGTGCCCTAACAGTGACCTTGAGTGTGGGCTCTGCTCACCAGCCATCTCCAAGGAGGGGGGCTCTGGCAAAGCTGCGAACGTTTTGTTGTCGTCTACGCAGTACAAATGCTTATGGCGCAGGAGGCCAAGCGCCAGGAGTTAGCAAACAGACCGCAGATAGGGTCGTGCCTCAGAGGAGAGCACGCTGAAAAGCAAGCACAGCATTGAAGTGTTGAGGAGCTGTCCGGGCGCGTGTCACTCCGCATGAAGGGGCATGCAGTGGACAGTGGGAGGGAAAAATGCAGAGAAGGCGGTGAGAGTCTGCATTGAGTCTTAAAAGGAGTCAGTCCTCAAATATGTTCAAGCCAAACAAAGAAATCTCGATATTTGAGAAAGTTGCTGTGACGGCAGAGGGGACCATATGGGCTGGAAGACTAAATCCAGGCTTTGGAAAACTCCGGAGAGGGTCATGGCGATAATAGCTGTCCAATGGATCAGTGTGTGAAATGGGTGCGGGGTCGGGGGTGTGGATGATGACAGGATTTACTTTGAGTGTCTGCAGGGGCAGCCTCTGCACCAACTAAAATAGGAAGCTTGAAACAGAAGCAGGCTTGAACTGGGAATAGGAAGTCAATATTTTTAACACGGGATCCAATTGGCCTCTGAGAATCAGGATGTGGGGTTTGAAAGAGATTAGATCTATGCCAGGTGTGGTGGCGCACGCCTCTAATAATAATTATAACCCGACTTTCTTTTCTTTCTTTTTTTAATGTGTGTTCTTATCCAATTTTCATATCAAGGTATTGCTAACTGTACAATGAACTTGGCAATGTTCCTACCCTCTTGTATTGTATGAAACAGTTGGAGTGTTTATATTAGTGTTATATCTTCTCTAAGATTTGATAGAATTCAGCAATTAATCCATTTGTCCTAGGTTTTTATTTTTTGGGAGACTTTTGGTTACTGTCTCCATCTTGTTGATTGTTATGAGTCTGTTTAAGTCGTTTATATCCTGTTGATTTAATTTTGTGAGTCATCTATGGCTGGGAGTTTATCCATTTCTTAACAGCCCACTAATATATTGCCAATGATAATAAAACTGGAAGTGGTAAAACTACTTTAGAATGTGTTATGAAGTTAAACCAGGCGGTGGTGGCACATACCTTTAATCCCAGCCCTTGGGAGGCAGAGGCAGGTGGATCTCTGAGTTTGAGGCCAGCCTGGTCTACAGATTGAGTTCCAGGACAGCCAGGGCTCTACAGAAAAACCCTGTCTCAGAAACACCAAAATAATACATAAATAGAATGTGTTATGAAGTTCAAGTGATTTAGGGAACATGTGGGAATAGTCAGGGAATGAGATGAAGTAAGAGGGCAGAGGAAGGGCAAGAATGAGGAGAAACAAGTTTAAATTAAAGGAGGAAGAAGAGTAGAGAACAGTGCTGTGGAGGGAGAGGAAAAGGGCAAGAGATTGAAAAGAAATCAAGATAAAAGGCAAACGGAAAGATGTCCCAATAACATAAAAAGATTTTGTTCTTTAAAGATTTAATTCAGCCAGCGGTGGCGGCGGCGGCGGCGGCGGCGGCGGCGGCGCACACCTGTAATCCCAGCACTCGGGAGGCAGAGGCAGGTGGATCTCTGAGTTTGAGACCAGCCTGGTCTACAGAGCTAGTCCAGGACAGGTTCCAAAGCAAAACTACAGAGAAACCCTGTCTCGAAAAACCAAAAAAAAAAAAAAAGATTTAATTCATTTTATTTTATGTATATGGATATTTTGCCTGTGTATGTATCTGTCTGAGCATCATGTGTGTGCCTGGTGGCAACAGAGGCCAGAAAGGATGTCAGATCCCCTGGAACTGGAGTTACAGATGGTTATGAGGGGCCATGTGGATGCTGGAAATCAAACCTTGGTCCTCTGCAAAAGAAACAAGGTGCTCTTTACAGCCGAGTGATCTCCCCAGCCCCTAAAAAAAGGTTTCTGAAGTACATAAATGTATAAGGGGGGGGGGGGGGAGACTTTAACAAACAAACAAACAAAACAGCAGCATGGTGGTGTCTCACGCCTTTAATCCCAACACTTGGGAGGCAGAGGCAGGCAGATCTCTGTGAGTTTGAGTCCAGTCTGGGCTACAGAGTGAGATACAGGACAAGCCAGGGCTACACAAAGAAACCCCCTGTTTGGGAAAACCAAAAACCAAAACCAAATCAAAATAAAAACAAACAAACAAGTGAAAACCAATAAGGTAAGTCAAAATATTGTAAATTAGAAGAGAAAGGAGGAAACTTGGACAAGCTGAAACTAAGGTAAAAGGAAAAATATTGCCCAATGATGAAGATGTGTAAGCAAAATTAGATCTAATAAGGGGGAAACAAATAAGTCATTAAAATCCACACACATATGAACGCCTGATTTTTGACAAAGAAGCCAAAACTGTACAATGGAAAAAAGAAAGTACCTTCAACAAATGGTGCTGGCATAACTGGATGTCAACATGTAGAAGATTGCAAATAGATCCATATCTGTCACCATGCACAAAACTCAAGTCCAAGTGGACCAAAGACCTGAACATAAATCCAGTTACACTGAACTTGATAAAGAGAAAATAGGAAGTACTCTTGAACACATTGGCACAGGAGATCATTTCCTAAATATAACACCAGCAGCACAGACACTGAGAGCAACAATTAATAAATGGGACCTCTTGAAACTGAGAAGCTTTTGTAGGGCAAAAGACACGGTCAATAAGACAAAAAAGACAGCCTACAGAATGGGAAAAGACCTTCACCAACCCCACATCTGACAGAGGACTGATCTCCAAAGTATATAAAGAACTGAAGGAACTAGACATCAAAATACTGAACAATCCAATTAAAAAATGGGCTATAGAGCTAAACAGAGAATTCTCAGAAGAAGAATCTCAAATGGCTGAAAGACATTTAAGGAAATGCTCAACATCCTTAGTCATCAGAGAAATGCAAATCAAAACAACTCTGAGATACCACCTTACACCTGTCAGAATGGCTAAGATCAAAAACACAAATGACAGTCAATGTTGGAGAGAATGTGGAGCAAAGGGAACACTCCTCCACTGTTGGTGGGAGTGCAAACTTGTACAACCACTGTGGGAACCAGTATGGCGGTTTCTCAGAAAATTGGAAATCGATCTACCTCAAGACCCAGCCACACCACTCTTGGGCATATACCAATGGAATGCTCAATCACACCACAAGGACACATGTTCAACTGTGTTCCTAGCAGCATTATTTGTAATAGCCAGAACCTGGAAACAACCTAGATGCCTGACAACTGAAGAATGGATTAAGAAAATGTGGTACATATACACAATGGAGTCCTTCCTACTCAGCAGAGAAAAACAAATCATGAAATTTGCAGGAAAATGAATGGAACTAGAAAGTATCATCCTGAGTGAGGTAACCCAGACTCAGAAGGACAAACATGGTATGTACTCACTCATAAGTGGATACTAGATATAAAGCAAAGAACAATCAGACTGCAACCCACAGATCTAGGGAGGCTACCTAGCAGGGGGGACCCTAGGATAACTGTGGCTTATAATAAGTTTTGGTTTTACCCAATCACTGAGCAAGCTTTAGTGAAACATTTCACTATTAGGATAAAAATTTATACTGTATCAAGCTGATGAAAGAAAATGCTGGCCATACTTTCAGGAGGGGAGGCTAAAATCTTTTTAGACTATGGATTAACCTATAGAAAAATGTCTGCTATAAATCAAACAGTGAAGGGGAAGATGAATAGGACACAACTTAAGTAAAACATAGCTCTCTAAACAGATGAAGATAAGTCTCTTCTGTATCCCAGAATCTAAACAGTACTTATATGTATAATTCAGCTATCATTTGGCTTAAAAGGACTTATTGGGAAATGTTATCATTTATACTATTTTCTACAGAGAAAATATTTTACTGTTTAAAATAACCCTGGACTTTTGAATTATAACCTTTTTTTATGTTCAGGCTGTCCGTGTATTATTTCTCCTGCAGCTGTACCTAAGATGTTTTTACATTTAAAAAAAGGACAAACACTATAGAATTGTATTACATGAAATATACAGAATATACAAATTCATAGAGACAGAAAGATCAGACGTTATCTCAAGACAGAGAAGAAAGGAATATAGAGCAATGATTTCCCAAGTACAGAATCTCTGTTTTGTGTGATGGAAAAACCCCACAAATGGACAGTAGTATCAGGACATAATATCATGAATGTAATAATAAATCAATACAATTAATGTAATTACTGAATATCATAAATATAATTATTAAGTGAATACTGCGAATGTAATCAATGAATACCACAAATGTAATTAATATGAGTATAATTAATGAATATCATGAATGTAACTAAAAATCAATTTAAAAAATTAAAAATAATGTAAAATTATAGTAAAAGGGAATCATGGGGTTAAAAACCAAAGGTGAGCCGGGCGGTGGTGGCGCACGCCTTTAATCCCAGCACTCGGGAGGCAGAGCCAGGTGGATCTCTGTGAGTTCGAGGCCAGCTTGGGCTACCAAGTGAGTTCCAGGAAAGGCGCAAAGCTGCACAGAGAAACCCTGTCTCGAAAAACAAAAAAAAAAACCAAAAAACCAAAGGTGGAGTGTTAGGTCAGCTCTTTTCTGGGCCCTCAAAAATTGAGGGTTATTAGTTATGTGCTTGAAGGTGGAGGAGAGGCAGCTGAGCTCACACTCTCGTCCTTCCTGTGGTTTATGCTGAGGCTGAGGCTGATTGGTTAATGTCTGATTTCTCCTAGCTGTGAGCTCACTCTGGTGGCTTCCCGCCATTGCACACTAGCGACCTCTGCTGGCCATACTTATATTTTAGTTTGTGGTCCGCCTGGATTCTCTCACCCTCCTGGGAGCCCCCATATTGTAGCCCTGGGACGACTGTGTAATGCTTTAGCTGGGAGGTGTCTCCCAAGTACCTTGGGAGCGTGGCTCCAAACCACAGCACTGGCATCGGCGCCTGCCTTCATGCTTTCAAGCCCCCCTGCACACTGACCACCTCCCCACCCTCCCATCCCCCGATGGAGGGATGCAGCTGTGGGTATCATGTACACCCGTGGCAGCCGGGGCAGACCCACCCACTGGCCTCAGGCAGAGCCATTGAGCTCCAGGGTCATCCTCAGTTGTTGAGAGCTGCCTCCAGCCACCCATCTTTCTCTATGCAATTCCAACTAAGCTGAACTTCCTGCCCCCTGCACCCCAGCTCGTCAGCATCTGGCTCCCTACATTTCCCATGGCAGGCCAAACTGAGGTCCCCTGACCTGTGGTGGCTCCCTGATCTCAAGATTCTAGGGTAGCTCAGTTTCAAATAAATTAGCTGTAAAAATGACTCCTGGCTTCTGCCCTCTAGTTCATATAGTGTGATAAAGTGGGATTTCTCTTCACCCGACCTGACTGCCAGAGGACTCCAGAGCTGCTGCTGGATTGGAGGCCTGTGAGGGCCGTGGGTTTGTCTGACTGGGGCCCTGTGAGGGCCGTGGGTTTGTCTTGAGGGTGGGACTGTCTGTCTCCCGTGGTCAGGGCCACCTGGTTTACCTTTTGGAAACTGCTTCTGTTTTCCCGCCCACTGCCAGGGAGCTGCGCAGTTGAAGATGTGTCTGACTTGCTTGGTGCCTCGCGCCTCTTCTTCTCTGGTAAACCTTTCTGCGTTTCTGAAGCTTGCCCCCTCTTTCTCTCTTTGGAATAGGGTCTATTTATTCCTACCCTGGCTCTACTTCCCTGGCTCACATGGGAGCGGCTCACAGTCCACCACCCATCTTACCTGGAAGCCCTAGCTCTCTCTCCCTCCCTCCCTCCCTCCCTCATAAGCGCCCACACTTACTTACCTGGTCAAGGTCACCTGATATGGCAGCGAGGAATGAAATCAGGCCAGGCTGGGGGGGGGGGGGTGTAGCTTGAGTTTTCCTGCCTGGCCCACAGTCAGGACAAATCTCTATCACCTGCCAGTCCCACAGCTACTCAGACCCGACCAAGTAAACACAGAGACTTATATTGGTTACAAACTCTATGGCCGTGGCAGGCTTCTTGCTAACTGTTCTTACAGCTTAAATTAATCCATTTCCATTCATCTATACCTTGCCACATGGCTCGTGGCTTACCGGCATCTTCACATGCTGTTTGTCAT